GTAGTAGTAGTAGTAGTAGTAGTAGTAGTAGTAGTAGTAGTAGTAGTAGTGGTAGTAGAGTAGTAGTAGATCAATGATAATATCAAATATCTTGAGAACGCTCGAGAAACCTGAAAACACACCACCATCCGGCTGAGCGGGGTATCCTGTCACATGTTATAATCAAAGGGCCGATTAAACATAAAAAGACTTGAACTGCGTAAAACAATAGCCCCAGTATAATTACCAAAACTAGAATCCAAGTAATTTCTTAAACCAAACTGGCAGACAACAATAGATTACACGTATTAGAATAGCAAAAAGTTATTTTAAATATATAGAATACGTCATTTATTTTGTATAATAAACAAAGAGGTTTACGTATTATAAAGTGGAAGTTGTTGAAAAAAAATTTAATTTGAAAGCAAAAACTAAAATACCAAAATTAACTTGACTTAGAAAAAAAAATTAACCCAGAATAAAGCAAAAAGTTATTTTGCGCCATTTTTTAAACAAAATATATTGGCAGTTTTTCTTCCCTCGTATTTAAAGGCGCATTATCTTGAGCCATTTTGAAGGGCGTGTTTTTATAATCACAGAAGAGACTTGATTTATGTGTTCAGTAAACATAATAAACGCTAACGTGTAGGCTGCCATGCCGGCAGGAAAATTAGCACGGAAAGTTTCATGTGCGTAGAAAAGTCAACAATCAGGTAAACGCCAACCACTATCGTTAAGTACCTAATATATAAACAGGCGCGCGTTTTGCTCATTGTATTGTTTGATAACCACTTTGGATCATGATATCAATCTGTTGTCACTATACAGCTGGTTATAGTTTGTCATTTAGCTACACCTCCATAAAAAACAAATCAGGAAAAATTTCCAAAAGACATCCAAGTCTCCCTGCATGGGCTAGTGGATCTAGAAACCTCCAGTTTTTGTTTGAATTGTGCCTTAGATCAGAATTGATTCTCAGTAAGAATAGGACTATCGTAAATCCTCTATTTAGTCCCCCGGGGGGCTTATTTATTTCAGACACGTTTGAGGGAGGGCTTATTGGAGAGGGGGGGGGGCTTAATTGAGAGGGGGGGCTTATTGATTTAGTCGAAACTTAGTAAGTCGTACGCTGTCAGGATGTAATATGATTGTAACTCAGGATTAAACGGAAGCATTACTATTGACC